TACACCACTTCTTCCACCCCTTGAGTCTAGATGTGCAATAGTGAATGGACGAAGTGTGCCCACTTGTCCCTGGAGCAGGTGGGCAGGGAGTTGCAGGGAGTGGCTGGAGGCTTGGCTCTGCCACAATGCACTGGCTAGTGTAGCTGTGCCAGGATGGTGGGTGTCATTGGTATAGGCCAGCAGCAAATTACTACTTCCTCATCAGAGCAAGGGAGAAGCAGGGAGGAAATTGAGTGACTTGGAGGGGAATATCTGAGGCACAGTGCTTCCTAGGGCTACTCTGGGGGGCTACTCTTCCTCACTCCCCCTTGCTCACAGCTGTGCCTAAACCACAATCTCTGCCTTAGAGAAATCCTGTTGATCTAACTTCTTACAGCACCTGGATGGTTCTTGGAGGTCTCACATCTGTGTAATGACCAGGTCTAAATCTGCTTCACTTACAATATAGCTGTCAAGGTTCCTTCCCCACTCTGAACTCTAGGGTACAGATGTGGGGACCTGCATGAAAACCCCCTAAGCTTATTTTTACCAGCTTAGGTTAAAACTTCCCCAAGGTACAAACTATTTTACCTTTTGCCCTTGGACTTTTTTGCTGCCACCATCAAGCGTCTAACAGATATATAACAGGGAAAGAGCCCGCTTGGAAACGTCTTTCCCCCCCAAATCTTCCCCAAACCCTACACCCCCTTTCCTGGGGAAGGCTTGATAAAAATCTTCACCAATTTGCATAGGTGAACACAGACCCAAACCCTTGGATCTTAAGAACAATGAAAAAAGCAATCAGGTTCTTAAAAGAAGAATTTTAATAGAAGAAAAAGTAAAAGAATCAGCTCTGTAAAATCAGGATGGTAAATACCTTACAGGGTAATCTGATTCAAAACATAGAGAATCCCTCTAGGCAAAACCTTAAGTTACAAAAAGACACAAAAACAGGAATATACATTCCATTCAGCACAGCTTATTTTCTCAGCCATTTAAACAAAACAGAATCTGACGCATATCTAGCTAGATTACTTACTAAGTTCTAAGATGCCATTCCTTTTCTGTTCCCGGCAAAAGCATCACACAGACAGAGAGAACCTTTGTTTCTCCCCCACTCCAGCTTTGAAAGTATCTTGTCTCCTCATTGGTCATTTTGGTCAGATGCCAGCGAGGTTATCCTAGTTTCTTAACCCTTTACAGGTGAAAGGGTTTTTCCTCTGGCCAGGAGGGATTTTAAAGGTGTTTACCCTTCGCTTTATATTTATGACAATAGCTAAAGGAGACATTGTTGAAAATTCAACCTGCTAATTCTGTTATGATGGAGGGTCCGTCCTCATCTCAGACACTGTACCTGCCTGCTCAGCAAAATCAAACTGTTCCAGATGTTCACAAAATTGTGGCTAAACACCACATACAGTGAGTTATTTCAACCCAGGGAGCCCTTTCTTTCTACTATGCTTCATCTCATCTACACCACTAATCAAAATTTTAATTCAGAGAGAAATATTTATACAGGAAAAGAAATGTGAAGCAGTGATGACCAATGTGTGTTTGTGTGTGTGTGAGGGTGGGGGGTGGGTGGTAACTTCCTCTTACTTATGTTGCACAGGACTCTAACCTAGTTGGGAATTTCTGAAGGAGCATGCCACTAGAGCTACTATTAAACTTCATGTCAGCTGCAGGATAAAATCCTGTAATATTCCTGAAATGAATGGCATGCCTCCCTAAAGCACCACCACAAGAAACATTTTGTTAAGTTATAGATCTCATGCCCACTGCTGACTTTCCTGAGAACCCATTATTTGCCAGTGTTTGACTCCAGTATTCTGGACTCCAGTATTCTTCTCATATTACATCTTCACTAATGACAATCTCTGAAGGGAACGTAGGGAAAGCAGCATTCCAGAGCCAATGTGGTATTTGTGGAGGTCTGAAAGCAGATTTTGCTGCAGAGGCCTGTCCCTGACACAGCATGATTCCCATGGTGGGGCAGCTTGCCACAGCGCATACAGGCCCTGGTCAAGACAGCACAAAACACATGGACCTCAATACAACCAGTAGGAATTGAGATAGTTGGTCACAGAGCCACCTTCTCAATAAATTAGTGTAATCACTCATATGATTGTGGAAATCCCCATCAAAGTATGTGAAATTAAAAGGTTTTTTCCCCCCCGCATTGAGACAGCATCTGTACATCCACCTACTCCAGCTGTATTACAGATGTTTCAGTTCATCTGCTGATGGTAGCCCCAAAACCCCAGGCTGAGCCTGATGAAGAATTTAAATGGAGGAATCTCATACTAATTTTTCTGTTTTGTTTCAAGCACTAAACTCTGCTCTCTGGCACATCTGGTGTAAATCTGGAGTGATTTCCACTGAAGTTGGCCCAAATTACCTGGTCCACTAAGGTCACTTTGCCGCTATGCAAAATGGTCTTAAACCAGTCAGAGTTTCCAGTGGAATTCCAGTGTGAAGGAGAATCGCTGCTGGCATAGAGCGGTGCTGCCTCCCATGCAAGACACCTTTCCCACACCAGCATAAGCGGGAGGGCTGAGGGAAAGGAGTGGGCATGAGCTCTGCATGGGGACGTTACACCAGCAGGCTAAGTTAAAGTAGGACACTTCTTGCTCTTGTGCTTGGGCTAGGAGGACTGTATCTGAGAGCCACAATCAGCTCCCTGTAGCCTTCCCTTGTCACTGCAGTCGCATGCTTCTTGGAAAGAGTGGTTAATCAAGGCCACTGACTTCAATAGGGGTAACTTCCTATTTAAACTGGGGAAGCTGAGAACAGAATTTGGCTGGAAGTGAGTTCAGTGCACTTGAAAGGTAACTGGACTGAAATCCTAAGGTACTGAAATCTTCCCTCAATAGAACATGTACAACATTCTCTTATCAATGCCCATTGATGAAATTATGTATCAAAAGAACATGTGAACTCCTTGATTGCAGATGGCTTCTAGCAAAAAAGTATGTCAAATTTGTCTCACACTGTCCGACTGTTGTGTGTTAACTCTTTCGAAGAGGGACGTCAATGAGGCAAGAAGATATTGTAATTTCCATGCTTATTTGATAGTCAGCCTCTCTGCAGGCATAGGTGCTGGAACCAGGGGTGCTGCTACAGCCCCCAGCTTGAAGTGGTTTCCGTTACATACAGGATTTACAATTTGGTTAAATGGCTCTCAACACCCCCACTATACAAATTGTTCCTGCACCCCCACCTGCAGGGACAGCCAAGCAATTCCAGTTCTATTGGTGTTTTGTGACAATCATCCACTAGGAACTGGAGGAAGAGAAACTCATTTCATATAGGCCTGAATGGTCTTGTGATAGTGGCAGAGATTTTCACCCACTGCCAGTCTAAACAAATAAACTAACATCTGCAATTACTAATCCTCTGAGCACGGCAATTCCCCTTCACCCCCTTCCTCACCACTTCCCATCCACAAGACTCTTTTTTTCCATAGTGTTAGGCAGCTTTAGACAGTTGGGCAGTGGTGAGTCTGCAGCTGGCATGTTCAAGAGGCTGTGAAGGGAAACCTGATAAAGTGAACGTTAACAGACTGGAGGATGACTTTGCATAAAAAAGCATTGCTCCCTCAAAGCACAGTACAGTGTACTGTGATATACTCCTACACAAAGAGAAGTACCTGCTACACTGTGCGCTCAAAAAAAATGATGGCTATGTACCAGTCCATTGTCTGAGCCGACCCCATACTTTACCAAGATTCAGTCCCTGTTATTTTCTTTTGTTTTCCTTTTGATGTGTCTTTGTTGCACTCAACACCGCCTCAACTTTAGTGAAGCCAGTTATATGAGGGCAGTCATGCCAAAGAATTTTGCTGTACACAGATATTGCAAAGGGGCGCAAGGGTGGTATTCTGGCCCATTGAAGCCAATGGCAAAATGTCTACTGATTTCAGTGGGGCCAGGATTTCACCCCATAACAATGTTGTGATTCCCTGACATTATCAATGTGTCCAAGGGACCCACTGATCTTCTTAGCCTGTCAGTGGAAGTACCATAATGCACAGTAGTTCTATTGACACCAAATTCTGTTAAAAGGCATTTATAGTGATATGACTGTAAGATGTATACATTGTTGATTTATAGTGATATCACTGTAAGATGTATAATTGTTTTAGTTCCTTCCCCCCAATGCATTTTTAACTAATATAGAGGAGTGCTTTAATACAGCTATTTTAAATTATTATTTATAATTTCTATAGCATCATAGCTGAGTATAGTGCAATTTTTAAATCATGTGAAATATAATTAAAAATGTAAAATCCCTAGCATTATTACTTATGTAGTATATATATTTCTCACACTACCTTCTTGGATAACTTTTCATTCCTTAAGTCATATTGCACCAGCAAAAAGAAGTTTTAAAAACATTTCTTCACTTTTCTTAACAGACATATGTGATTAGTAATATTAGTTAATATGCATGAATAGACATCTGGACCATATTCAGTATCTGACATAGGATGTTTGGGCCAGAGGCTTTTTTCAGAATGCAGATTTGAACTATACTTATACAGGTTATTAGCAAACTACAGCATTGTCTAATATTTTCTTTCAAATGCAGCATTAAAGTATAGTGAGATTTTGATTAGAATAAAAAGCAAACATAAATGTGCAATATTTGTCCATTGACTGTAAGGAGATAATGAAAATATTCCTTGACACTGCTGAGACAGGCCTATCATAGATTGCTACTCTGATTAAAAGGTATAGGGAAAGTGCTTTGTACCTTTTTGACAGTGCAGCCATAGCACAATACACCACTAAATCCACATTCACTGATATAGATTTCTCCTAATGTACATGTTATACTGGAATGTAAACATGAACAAGATAGGTAGGACAAACCATTTTCGACTTCTGAGTTGTTCACTATTTGGTATTCATTACTCATAGTGTGGAATTGATCACATAAGTCACATAGTATTGTTTCTGATTGCTCATTGGCTGACAAACATTTTAAATAGGACAGTAACAAATGGTGGACACCAAATATTGAATAACAAATACTCCTGTTAGAACACAAATAATATTGTTCACACAAATACAGCCATTCCACAAACATTTGCAAAAGGAAAATACCACTCACACAAGTATTAAGGAACAGCAAATAAAAAAAGGGCATAAATATGGCTGACCTGAACTGCTGGCGCATGAACAAATATCTTTGAGCCTGCTTCTGCAACATTCAACCAGCACTATAGAACCATGCAGGGCAATAAAATGTAGTAAAGCATTTAAGCATATGCTTAACTTTCAATTAATCCAAATTAACTATGACATTTCTTTAACAAAATACCCTGAAATCTGCAGACTATGTCTATATCAAGCAAAACAAAATTATAGATTGCTCTTCCAAAATTCAGAGTTTATTATTCTTTTTGTGGAAATGAAAATATAATTATAATTGCAGTTTTTAGCAAGACTGGAATGAAACAGAATTCTTGTAATGAGCTCATCCTTAACTCAGATCATGTGTACACAAAAGCAAGATTTTAGCTCTCATTTGTTAAGCACATAGGAAAAAAAGTGGCCAGCATTTTCAATTACCTTTCTGTGTGATCAGTCTTATCCGGATCCACTGAAGTCAATGGCAAATTCCCTTTTCCCTTAATGGTGCTGAACTAGCTTTCATCTTCTCTTCCCCTCATGCAAGGAACTTCTATACTTAAGATTTTGCATCCTCATAGAATGTTGATTACTGGTTGAAGGCTAATATAACTCAATTCCGTATTATTATTAAGAAGGAAGATATCATGCCTGAGCAGATTTGGAAACAGGCCAAAACCTATGATTAGATTTTCTGGATAAGGTACTTGCAAAAGCACCTGTTACCTGAGCACCTCAATCTTTAAGGTATTTATCCTCACAACATCCTTGTAATTGCTATTACTCCTGTTTTACATACCGGGAACTAAGGCCTAGAGAGATTAAACTATAGCTTGACTATAGGCCACACAGGAAGTCTGTGGTAGAACAAGGAATTGAATCCAGGTCTCCCAAATGCTGGGTTAGTACCATACCCACTGGGTCATGCTGCCTCACCTTGCCACTTTATTAATATGCCAACTTTACATAGTATACTGAGACTTAAGCATGCGACTACTAAGTGCTGGATTCTGCACTCACATTGCATAGTACTTACTCACATGAGTTGTTCCATTGACATCAGTAAGTAAATAAGTGCTACCCACTCAGAGTAGAGTAGTGGAACAGGGCCCTTAGACTGTACTATGAAATTCAGGAAATGCAAGATTCCCAACCTTAACTGTCACCTTTTTATTGATTATAGTTATTGTTAAGCACAGGGGCTGAATGAGATAAAAGAAAACCACAATTTCTACTCTAAAGAGTCTCCAATTTAAAGCTTGCACATTTAGTGGTCTGATTATGCATTTATACTAGTTTTTGCACAGGTGTATCTTCATTAGCTCTGGTGAAGAAATTCTTGATTTATACTGGTGTGAGAGGAAAAGCAGACAGGCCTATATATTACAAAAGGGTTTTTCCGTCTAGGATCATACAGCCCTGATTGCAGTAACACTAGTTAGCAAATAACTTCATACCACGGAAATAAGCTGCATTGTTTTCTTACATTGTGTTTGTAAAACTGTAAACATAGTATACAGGATCGTAGGCTTCCATGTTAAAACTACACATTATTTTATAACACTTGATGAACAAATATAATGTTTTGTGTTATTGCATATATAAGTGTTATGATTAGATGATAAAAATCCCTATTGTGCAAAAGTGTCTCTGGAAACCTGGGTCCAGATCTTCAGCTGGTGTTAATCAGTATGGCTCCAATGAAGCCAAGGAAGCTATGTCAGTTTGCACCAGCTGAGGCTCTGGTCCCTTAACTTTACATTTTCTGATTTTAGTGAGGATTACATTTCAATCTTAGCAGTACATCAGCATCATTTTTGCATTTAATAGCAATACATTGTGCTGAGACTCACTTTTACTTAGGTCATTTATTAAAAAACAAGCTATGTACAAATAATTAGGGACTAGATTGTCAGAGGCTTTTGGGCAGATGAATCGGTGGGAGCAGGGGGCGTAAGGAGTTTTCTCTGCACTCCTTAGGGGCTCCACATAAGGGCCCAGAAAGACCCCAGTTCCTATACTCAGGGAAGCACAGGGACTGCCCCCCTCTGTGTCTCCCTCCTGCTGTGCACCCTCAGGGCCACGAATCCCCTAAAGGAAGCAGGCAGGGGCAGGAAGAGAAGGGTCATGGCATGCTTCTTCTGCATGCTAGAGAACTAGGAGAGGGATTATGCCTCCCCCCGTTCCTCATATGCTGGTGCAGATTTGTACCTAAATGATGGAATTTGGCCCTTAGAGAACTATATTAAAGTAAGGTGAGCTTTTTTCCACAACCAAAAAGGAACAGGCAATGAATAAAGATTTGTAGCAGCCAGCACCAATGAACATCTGCTTATTACTGTGACTAGATTCAGGAACACACCAAAATGTGCCATTTAAAAAGAAGTTTACACTACTGAGAGTGCCATTTTCTGTGATTAAGTAGATTTCTTTGAATTTTTCCAATCCATTTTAATCTCTCTGAATATTCAGCCATATTAGTTCTTTTTGTGAGATGTTCTTGAATGGCTATTAAGTGAGAGTGCTTTCATTTCTTCTGCCCACCTGAAAATGATACAAAGAAAAACAGGAAACAGTAAAAATTCACATGAATTAAGAATAAGATGGTTAACACACCCCACTATAGTGTATAATATAGTCAAATACAAAATAAGGACCAGAAATCATGGTTCAGAAGTGAAGCTGAGTCCCACAGGCCATGGTATTGCATGGTTTTAATGCTGTAGCAAATGGCTTTGCATGAGTCTTGTTTGGAGATTGAGGGTTTTTTTCATAATGATACTTTTGGGGTGTGAAACTATATATTGGTTGAAACTGAAGAAAATGTTGGCATGGATTCCTGTGAAGCACACAGCTCTAGTGTGTAGGTTCACAGAGTCCGAGTAAAGCCGCAAGTAGATTATATATGCTCAATCATAAAGAGTACTCTCCTACACCCTCCATTTTAATGGACATTCAAAAGAACAGAACAAAACCAAGGACACTCTACCTTAGCTTGGTTCTTTTGTTTCAATGGGATTTAAGGGAATAGTTACTTCTACTGAGTTCAAGTCAAATGAGCTTTTCTGTACAGGAAATAGAAATATGTTAACATCACTGCTGTACACATTCAAGCTGTAGAAACCAAATGGAAATATTATAATAATAAATAATAATAAAAGATCTGCTGGTCTTATTTTTAATCTCTGTAATCTATTTTCCTCATACCGATCAGTTTCAATCATATCATTGCATGTTAAAATTGTTCACTCTTTAACATTTCAGTAAGCATTAATTTATTTTTTAATATTAAGGTTACAGATAGATGGCTTGAAATGTTAATGTGCCAACATATTATTAACTTTCCATGCATCTTGCCTATAGTCCTCAGAGAACTAAAGAGCACAATCTAAACTGGATAGGCTATGTTCTCTTAGGGTCAGTGACATTTTCAGATGGACTGTCATCTGCTGGTGCTGAACCTCCTGGTGACAGAAAAGTATCTCAGAAAGAGATAGCATTGCAAACCAGGGACCATCATTACTCCAGAAGTGGCTGGCATTGGCCAGGACTGGAGTATAATCCAGGTATCAGGAAAATATGTATATCCTAAAAGGATTAAGGATGTCGTCCACTGGCAGAATCTCACGGGGAGATCTAACAGTGGGTGAAACCTCATTAAACGATCAGTGCAAATCTGAGAGATCACTGAAGAAATTTAAAAATAATAATATAATTACAAAAATATAAGAATAATAAATATAAAAAAGTTTACACTTACTCTTGACTTTTTCCATATACAGCAATAAATAATGACACCACAAATAAGGAGGATCCCAAAGGAAATGCTGAGTCCTATCACTGAATAAGCAAACAAATAGCATTAGTTACTGTGAGTCATCAATAAAGGGAACAAACAAGTACATCCTTTGGCAGGATATAATGCATAAGAGATAACAGTTATATAATACAGTGAAATCTCGATCTTCAAAAATGAAACTTCAAAATTAAAAAAAAAATCTTGATGAGCACAAAAATGAACCATACATGGTGGCTATGACTGCCTTTTTCTGGACAATGTGACATAACCTAAACCTTAGCAAATCAGCTCAGGACAACTAACCCCTAACCTCCCCTAAGTGTCTGCTGAACTTCATGAAGGACAGCACTAAGTTTAGGAACATTTTCCCAAACAATAGGTCTATGTTTTATATGAAGACACTCAATGGGATCCAAACTTTTTGACCTGCCCTTGGAAAATGTTTGGAATACAAATGATTTGTGCAGTTTTATTAGAAGTCTATGAACCCAATCTTGTGACATGGCTAGACTCCTTTTAGAGCAGGGGTCTTTTAGAAGTGGTGTGCCGAGTCTTCATTTATTCACTTTAATTTAAGGTTTCGCGTGCTAATAATACATTTTAACATTTTTAGAAGGTCTCTCTCTATAAGTTTATATATTATATACTAAACTACTGTTGTATGTAAACAAGGTTTTCAAAATGTTTAAGAAGCTTCATTTAAAATTAAATTAAAATGCTGATCTTACGCTGCCAGCCCACTCAGCCCGTTGCTGGCCTGGGGTTCCGTTCACCTAGGCCAGCAGCGGGCTGAGCAGGGCCCGCAGCCCGGACCCCAGCTGGCAAGGGGCAGGCAGGCAGGCAGCCAGAACCCCAGACCGGCAGTGGGCTGAGTGGGGGCGGCGGCCGGGATCCCAGACTGGCAGTGTCAGTCTGGGGTTCTGTTTGCCGGCTCCTGCCAGCCAGGGTCTTGGCTGCCAGCCCCGCTCAGCCCACTGCTGGTTTGGGGTCCCAGCCCTGTCCACACAGAGTAGGTACCTAACTTCTCCCTGGTTCTAGCCATTCTCTTTCTCTCTCTGCACTGAGATGAGGGTGGGAGTGTGCTGAGAACAGGGCTGGGGGTGAAGGAGCAGGTTGGGAGTTGGGGTGCAGGGTCTGGCCAGGAGCTAGAATGAGGGAGGGGGCTCAGGGTTGGGGCAGGAAGTTTGGGTAGCTCCCATTTGGTGCAAGGGGTGCAGGTGGGAATGAGGGTGTGTGTGTGTGCAGGAGCTCCCGTTTGGTGCTCAGGGTGGGGGTGGGGTGGTGGGGGGTGCAAGAGTCAGGGCATGAGGTGTGTGGGGGCTGGGTATGTGTGTGGGGTGCCAGAATCAGGGCTGGGGTTGTGGGGGGGTGCAGGTGTCAGGGCACAGGGTTGGGGTGTGGGGGGGTGCAGGTGTCAAGGCAGAGGGTTGGGTGTGTGTGAGGAGGGTTCAAGGGTCAGGGCAGAGGGCTGGGTGTGTGTGAGGAGGGTGAAGGGGTCAGGGCAGAGGGCTGGGGTCGTGGGGGTGCTCCCAGCCTCCTGCCCTGAGCAGTTCATGGCAGGGGGCTGGAGGGGATATGCCCTGATTCCACCCCTTTCCCCAAGGTCCCTGGAGCAGAGAGCACGCTGCGGCTCGACTTTTACCTCTGCCCCGCTTTTACCTCTCCCCCTCCATAGCAAGGGCCATCAGCTGATCGGCCCCAGGGAGGGAGAGAAGGAGGGGCAGGAACCCAGCACACTGGGGGAAGAGGTGGGGGGAGGGGGAAGCTTGCCTGCCCTGCAAGGAGAGAGTGGTGGGCGGGAGGCGGAAAAAAGCAGACCGGGCCGGGCAAGATTTTTAGTGGCATGCTGCTGTCTGCCCAGGTCCAGCAGACAGAAGCGTGCCATTAAAAATTGGCTTGCGTGCCATGTTTGGCACATGTGCCATAGATTGCCCACCCCATTTTAGAGCAAGGTAGCCTTACCAGTACATGCCTTTTGCAGGATTTCAAGCATTAACTTCCTGCAATTTGTTTCATTCCATTTTTTCTTTCAGATTTACTTTCATTTTCACATTGTTTTCAGAAGATAGATGAGATACATGACCCAAGGTGAAGCCATTTTCTTCCATCCATAGAAAAAACAGGGTGTCATAAAGTTGAGGTGAACTGGTTAAAAATAAAGGTTTCAGAGTGGTAGCCGTGTTAGTCTGTCAGCAAAAACAACGAGGAGTCCTTGTGGCACCTCAGAGACTAACAAATTTATTTGGGCATAAGCTTTCGTGGACTAGAACCCACTTCATCAGATGCATACAGTGGAAAATACAGCAGCAGGTATAAATACATGAAAAGATGTGAATTGCCTTACCAAGTGTGAGGTTAGTCTAATGAGACAATTCAATTGACAGCAGGATACCAAGGGAAGAAAAATAACTTTTGAAGTGGTAATGAGTGTGGCCCATTTCAGACAGTTGACAAGAAGGTGTGAATAACAGTAGGGGAAAATTAGTATTGGGGAAATTAGGTTTAGGTTTTATAATGACCCAATCACTCCCAGTCTTTATTCAGGCCTAATCTGATGGTCTCTAGTTTGCAAATTAATTCCAGTTCTGCAATTCCAGTTTTGTTTTTTGTTCCAGAGTCTGTTTTTGAAGTTTTGTTGTTGAAGAATTGCCACTTTTAGGTCTGTTATTGAGTGACCAGGGAGATTGAAGTGTTCTCCTACTGGTTTTTGAATGTTATGATTCCTGATGTCAGATTTGTGTCCATTTATTCTTTTGCATAGAGACTGTCTGGTTTGGGCAATGTACATTGCAGAGGGGCATTGTTGGCACATATCACATTGGTAGATGTGCAGGTGAACAAGCCCCTGATGGTGTGGCTGATGTGGTTAGGTCCTATGATGGTGTCCCTTGAATAGATATTTGGATAGAGTTGGCACCGGGGTTTGTTGCAGGGTTTGGTTCCTGTGTTGGTTTTTTTGTGGTGTGGTGTGTAGTTGCTGGTGAGTATTTGCTTCAGGGTGGTGGGCTGTCTGTAAGCGAGGACTGGCCTGTCCCCCAAGGTCTGTGAGAGTGAGGGATCATCCTTCAGGATATGATGTAGATCCTTGATGATGCGCTGGAGAGGTTTTAGTTGGGGGTTGTAGGTGACAGCTAGAATGTCACTTAAAGACTTAAAGTTACAGAGACGCCATCACTTACACTAGTTTAAATCTGCAAGTGGCCCATGCCCCATGCTGCAGAAGATGGCAAAAAACAACAAAACCCAAAAGCAAACAAAACAAAACAGGGTTTCTGCCAATCTGACCCAAGGGAAAATTTCTTCCCAACCCCAGATATGCTGGTCAGTTGGACCCTGAGCATTTTGGCAAGACCCAGTGGCCAGACACCTGGGAAAGAATTCTCTGTAATAACTTAGATCCCTCCCAATCTAGTGCCTCATCATCAGCCGTTGGGTATATTTGCTGCTAGCAGTCATAGACAGGCTACATACCATTGTAGGCAGTCTCATCACAGGATCCCCTCTACAAATTTATCAAACTCAGTCTCGAAGCCAGTTAGGTTTTTCTCCCCCACTGCTCCCCTTGGAAGGCTGTTCCAGAACTTCACTCCTCTGATAGTTAGAAACCTTCATCTAATTTCAAACTTAAACTTATTGATGGCCAGTTTATAGCCATTTGTTTTTGTGTCAACATTGGCCCTTAACTTAAATAACTCCCTCACGGTATTTATCCCCCTTGTGAAGTGCTGGGAGTGGAAGATGCTTAGTACCACCTCATGGGATCTGACCCCCCCAAATCCATCAGAATAGATGTTTCTTTAAAAGCCAATAATTCAGGTCCTGTAATTAAATGGTATAATTTTGACTGAGTGTTTGTCTTTTCAATAAATTCCTGAATGTAACCACTTACAGAAGGTTTACAATTCAAGGCAGAGATTCCCTACTCTTGGACCATAGAGAGAGCTGGCTAGTCTCATATTGTTGGCTCCTCTTCCTCGCTTCAGCCAGAGTCCTGCACTTAGGATGGAAGAATCCCATGCACCGCTACAGACTAGGGACCGAATGGCTAGGGAGCAGTTCTGCAAAAAAGGACCTAGGGGTTACAGTGGACGAGAAGCTGAATATGAGTCAACAGGTGCCCCTGTTGCCAAGAAGGCTAACGGCACTTTGGGCTGTATAAGTAGGGGCATTGCCAGCAGATCGAGGGACGTGATCGTTCCCCTCTATTCGACACTGGTGAGGCCTCATTGGAGTACTGTGTTCAGTTTTGGGCCCCACACTACAAGAAGGATGTGGAAAAATTGGAAAACGTCCTGCGGAGGGCAACAAAAATAATTAGGGGACTGGAATACATGACTTATGAGAAGAGGCTGAGGGAACTGGGATTGTTTAGTCTGAGGAAGAGAAGAATGAGGGGGGATTTGATAGCTGCTTTCAACTACCTGAAAGAGGGTTCCAAAGAAGATGGAACTAGACTGTTCTCAATGGTAGCGGATGACAGAACGAGGAGTAATGGTCTCAAGTTGCAGTGGGGGAGGTTTAGGTTGGATATTAGGAAAAACTTTTTCACTAGGAGGGTGGTGAAGCACTGGAATGCGTTACCCAGGGAGGTGGTGGAATCTCCTTCCTTAGAAGTTTTTAAGGTCAGGCTTGACAAAGCCCTGGCTGGGATGATTTAGTTGGGGATTGGCCCTGCTTTGAGCAGGGGGTTGGACTATATGACCTCCTGAGGTCCTTTCTAACCCTGATATTCTATGATTCTATGACAAGACAACTACAATACATAAAACCCTTGTTTAATTTCTGTAGAAGCAACTGCTGTAGTAGCCACAGAGATGTTATATAATTGTGGAGGGGAGAGGTTCCATGAAACAATTCCTCTGTTAAAAGGTGGTCCACACTATGAAAAAAGCTTATGAACCTTTGCTTAAGGCATCTGAGTACTGTAAAACCTCAGCAAAAAGTTCTGTTTAAGGAGTTAAATGAGAAAACATCACATAGTAGGGGAAAAACACACTAATAAGTGGTTTCTGAGGAGCAGCCGTGTTAGTCTGTATTCGCA